CCAAAACACAGATATTTATGCTGCTGTTTGCGTTGAATTCTAGTTTATGAAAACTAAAGCTTGAGAAAATAGAGTTGAGTTCAGAGATCTCTTGCAGCTTAAAAACTTACGAAGATATCTTGGCAAACTGGTTGAACTTCTAGCAGACAGAGCTTCGTCGACTTCAGTCATATGTGTATTTGCTCCCTCTATACCTGATTTACTCTACTGGAACTCTGAAGCTATTTTTTTTTTCTTCTATAGGTCGATGTATAGAGCTTGCTGGACCTCTGCAAAAGCGTTGTGCCCCCAAAGTAGTTTGGCAATACCTCCAGCATAGGAGGCATTGTCAGCTTCCTGCCCCTTGTCTTGGTTTCTACTGCCTGTGGTGACGTCACAACGTGACGTCATTGTTTATGAGCTCAGTATGGGGCGATGCTGACGTCATATGGTGACGTCATTGCGTAATGATAATTTTTGGATCTCTCATGTCAACGCCACTGTCGTGGAACGTCCGTCAGTTTCCTCATGTGATAGGCTGTTCAAGGGGACCCTCAACAGAAAGGACGATTTCTCGCGTATTAGTAAAAAAACAATTCCGAAATCCCCCAAAACCCTCCTCTTGACACAACACGACGGCATGTAAGTGAGAGAACGCACGAAAAGAAAATGTGGAAGGACACGCTTCTTGAGATTCCCGTGCCAAAGACCATGACGTCATAAAATTTGATGGCACCTACTGGGTCCTACGTATGTTATAGTTGGTAAAGGTGAAGCAAACTTTCATCTGTGGGTGCCATGGACCTAGCTAACGAAGTTTCAGAAAATTTCATTACGCTATTGTCACAAAAATATGAAAAATAAATTTCAAAATTTGTTACGTCATGCGCGGAGATTTTGGTGCTACATTCAAAAATAAAATTTCACCCTAAAGTTCTCTGATAAAAATGAACTTATGAGAGTCAAACTAATAGCATTAGGGTTTTCAGAGGGCCGCTTATTAATCTTAACTTGGTTACTGTTTTCTTTAGTGTCCGTTTAAGGCGTTCACCTTCATAATAGTAAAAATAATGATAATAATCTTATTATTTATAATAATATTATTACTGACAGTGTAAATAGCTTTATGGAGTTCACATGCCAAAAGCTTGATATCACTATAAGGCAGACCGCAGTGCGAAGTGTGTGCGATTTCCGAATTCCTTGTCTTTTTAGCATTGTTCTAAACCAAAGAAGCATTTTGCGACGTCATCCTGAACCACAGTAACCATCCTTGTCTTGTTCACTTATTTCATCAATATTACTTTCTTATTTGAGCATTCCTCACGGTAATTAGGCATATACACAAATTTTCGCGATATAGACAGCAGAAGAAGACGCGTGAATAAAGTAGTGGCACAATTTGTGATACATCTAAGAGAATTGTTGGGCCAGTCTGAAAGGCTTCTCTTACGTTGAATTTACCTGCCCAAACAATGAATCAGATGGAGGCTTAACTGTTCATCTCTCTTACTGCTGACCAGCGAGTGCTCATTGATGGGGTTGAAGAAAGGAAAGAAGCACGCAAAGAGGTTAACCAGAAAGACATCCTGTTGGCCGCCCTACAATGAAGGATCATGAAAGAGAAATATAAATACGAGAAAGAGGAGGACAGACGAGAAGGAAAAGAAAAAAGGGCAGAGAGGGACAGGACAGAACCGAACGTGTGGCTAAGTCAGTCGGACCCGAGTTTAGGGCTTCCCCCAAAATAGTCACCCAAATTATCCATGTTTTACTAAAGTTCTGCTGTCCTCTTCTATCGCTGTGTTCAATATAATTAGGATTCCGTGGCTACAACTTCTCACAAACGTTCATTTTTTTATTTTCTAAATTCACGAGTTCTAGTTCACGAAAACTTCATTATAGTTTTGGCATATATCTCTAGTTTCTTGTTTCGGAAAACTCGGACGGAGTCAGGCTAGAAATCTGCTAACGTTTAAAAGAAGTTCAATGCGAAGATTCCAGACTTGAGGTAAACACACCACAGACAGGAAGTCATTGCGCACTCAATGAACAAGGGTGAGCAAACCAACGAAGATAGGCACATTTGCCGAGCAAAGGATTCCAGTCCATCACAAGAGCCAACCAGTCCATTGAGCGGTATTGCTTGAATAACAATACCGAGTGTGCTTACTTTGCATTGAGTCTTGACGGGCTGCTGTCGTGCACTTCAAGAAGAGCGGACGGCGTGAACCAGCCACTATGCATAGCTTTTGCTGCGGGAACATTACGAGTGTGATGGCGTCAACGCGTATAAACCACTTCAACCACGCCGAGCACGTCAATTTGTTTGCTATGGTGTCAGCATTTCTCCATTCAGTGCACGTAGCGCGCGAACTAGACGAATGAAAATATCGTACGAGTGTGTAATTGTTTAGTGTGCTCGTGCACTGCAATTTCTCGCAATGGTTTTTTCCAGAGGGAGAGGAGACTTGCTAGCTTTCCAAAACATGTTCTTTAGTGCGTGCATTCCACGACATGGTGATGTTTAAGTGTCATAAGCCAAATGCAAAAAAAGCGAATCAGCTAACAAAGCCTGGACTCATGAATAAAAGATTCTCTTAGTTCGGACTTCTGTTTTATACAATCATGACGAGACATGATCTTTTTCTCATACTAGTCGGAGTCGAGGCTCCATAGCTTTCATGGTTGCAGGGTGTGTATTCCAGACGGGGAACTTTATACTGCTTTCTCGCCGGGAAGTTCGAATACTTTTCGTGAAACTACTTGCCTGAATAAGAAAACGCTGTTTATTGTTGTGGTAGGCTATGTACAAGAAATATCTTCTAATGGGCCATTTGTATTGATAATAGTCACGTTTAGCATGAACTTAGTGTTTTTATACTGCTAGGATGCTCACGGGGAGCATGACTGTTAACGTTAGAAAGATTTTACTTCAAGAGTAACCATGGGTAATTTTTCATTACACCTACAACACGACGTCCTGGAACGCAGTCTTGGCGTTAATATTGAAACGTTATTTATCTTCTCTATAACAATCTAACACCAATCACAAGGGAGAGATTTTCAGTAGACAGATAACATGGGGGAGTGTATGAAAGCAAGATCAAATTTGTAGGAAAATATTCACCTTACTTGAATGTTGCGCAACATTTTTCTGCACTTATAAGTCAAGTACAACATGAGGAGGCACAATAATTCATGCCCTGATGATCGAAGCATAACCAGCGGTTGCCCCTCCGTATGACTAAAATAACTTCGCATTATGGCCGTCATCCAGGTTGTGAACCCTCTCCTCTGAAAAGGGGAGGATCAGTTTTCTACTTATTTGTTAAGTTTGGTCATCATCATTATCTATAGCCGGACGACTGATGACGTCAGTTCACAATGCACGTCCATCGGTGTAGGCTGATTTGCCTTCAACAAACAAATGGCGTGGCCACCTAAAGATGTACCGGGCTGCATAATTAATAAACTGATTTACCGAGAGGTGAATTCTGTTATTGCGGCTGTTTAAGGAATTAATTTTTGCGTAAGATATGCTTCGTGACTCAGAGTTTGTATTTTGCAATGACAGTTGCACAGCAGTCTGCGAGCTATAAGTAATCGCTGTACCTCGGCTGTGATTTGCGGAACAACCAGCTGTTGACAGCACTTTCTTAGCAAGAAGGGAAATTCGGGCTAGTTTGTAATAGTTCATTTTCAATAACTCATAGCGCAAGAAGGACGCAGACAAAGTACAAGACAACATGAGCACTCGTGTTGTCTTGTATTTCGTCTGCGTCCTTCTTGCACTGTGAGTGACCGAAAAAGCAATTTCTTTATTTTGAATTCTGCTTGTTTACACCATGGTAGCGCAATTTCAAACCAAAATGAAGCGTATTGCAGAGGATAATGCTTACGCAACGAAGCGTCGGGATTGTGTCAAGAATGTAGTTGAGCGTGGCAAATCCGCCTGAAAGTCCCTACATCAAAGTTTATTAAAATGGGGGATTTAACGTCCCAAAACCACCTTATTATTACCACATCAGAGTTGGTATTTAGTAGAGACTGGAAGGTTCAAATGGGACGGGCAAGAATTGAAACACGGACAACTCAAGTACTCAGAGAAATGCCCACATGAATTACTCCTGTTTGGCTTCACTGTGCGCAAGTGGCTAATAACCATTAGGCCGCGAGCTTCTGAGTCCCACAGTCCCACCATGGCCCGCCAAAAAAAAAAACCAGCGATATAAACAGGCCATGAAAGCAATAAAACAATTCCGCAGCCCAAAAAAAGAGGAACAAAAAATCAAAAAGGAGACAGGATGTTCGTTAGGCGCAGAACCCATTCTCGTATCTGCACTCGGATACATCGTCGACGCCGTCCTCCATGTTGTCGGGGGCTTCTTAACTCCCACCGCTGAAACCGCGCTGGCGACTTGGTGCTCAACTCGGTGCCTAATTCTAAACCGCGCCTCTGCTTAATGGAGGCAATTTAGAATGCGCTGCGCCTCGTCAAGTCCCTTCTCTGCCACTCCAAGCGCTAAGCACCCACCCTCTCTCTGCTACTCTCGTAACACGCTCCACTCGCAAAAAGACCACCGAGATGTGACGCAACACACGCTCTCTCCAGAAATGACATTTCTTTCTCCTCCCCCACCTCCTCGTTTACAATTCAAGACAACAACTCATCCGCGCCGCTCACTGCCATCCGACGCCTCGGCTTGACTCGGGCGCCACGCGCTTCTCCGCCTCGCTGCTCGTCTAGGCGCATCCCCGGAGGCGCGAGAAACTGCACGCGTTAAGGAAGGAAGACGTGAAGACGCGGCAGTGGTGGCGCGGATGCGGTTAAAGATGTTGCACGCCGTTAGCGCGAAGACGACTCCAGCGACCGCGTTTCTTCGAGAACTGGGTCATTAGCACTAACGTGGCGCGTTTATTAGGGACGCGTGCTCAGTCGCTGGTGTGACGAGCTCCGCGCGAGCAGCGACGCCGCCATGCGGCCCGTAGGTGGCGGGGGCATCAGGCCCGAGTCTCACCTCCTTTGACCCGGCAGAGGAGTGTGAGGCGAGATCCCTCGTCGTAAGGTCCCACGGTGCCGTGCAGGCTGCGCCCCGATTCATCCACGATCACGGGCAGCTCCGGTGGCACTGCGTTTAAAGCAAGGGGTTGACAGATATTAGACGGGATGTGAATGATGAAGAGAGGACATAGCGAGGTTTATTTGGCCTTACCCTGTGGCGCGCCCACGATGGCCGATCACGAGGACCTCTTCTAGCACGAAATAATTACTATCATACTCCTACGGCAGCTCCACTTTGTCGAATGTAACTTGACCATCGCTGTGTATACTGTTCGTAATTGAGACACGACATTCCCGCCTACACGCTTACATTATTGTCATTGGTCGATTGCATCCTTACAGGAAATTTTATTTATAAGATTACTCTGACGTTACTTAGCGAAATTTCAGTAAGCCAATACTTTATTGCCCGGGAGTTCAGAGCTCTAATTACCAAGTGGTACATTTATTCAGAGTTTTTTTATTGTCCGGATTACCACAGCTCTAATTACCAAGTGGTACAAGCGTTTGAAGTGTCACGCGTATGTTTTACTTTTTTTCTGAATGTTATTTTATTTTCTAAAAACCCTGGGGAATGATATCGGTCATACTTGCTACATTTATCACCACATTTCAATAAATTTTGGCATATCCACTGATATATTGGGGACAATATCAAGCAAATGAGGCACGTACACACGCGAAGCACAGGAAGAATTTTTCTGACACCGTTAACAAAATAATCACAAATATAACGAAGTACGCACATTCTATGCTCCAGAACTAAAACTACACATTCAAGCACTTTTTTATAATTAACATCTGAGGATATTTAGGGCAGAGGCTGGCCTAGTATTGGTTCAAATTCTAGAACAATGTGATTGAGATCTTATGACAAACAAAACTAGAAGTCCACTTAAACACAGTGTTCTGAATGTCCACCCTTCCTTTTATTTTGATAACAAGAGATTGGTGTTGTTAACAAGAACTACGGGCACTACTGTTGCTGGGGATGTACCAGTATAGTAGAACATTGCTGCTTGAAACATGAGCGAGTACTTATAGCAACAGAGGACGGCATACAGTATAGTTCAAGCGAAATTACGCTGGTGCTCCAGCTCTGTTTACAGGTTTTTCGATCAAACTCAGTTCCTCTAATAAAAACTGAAATATAATTCAGACTATATAGTACTAAACGCACTTAGAGCTTGACTATCTAGTGCTGAACGTAGTCAAGGCAGGCTGATCTATATAAAAAATTGAAAAATAAAAGGACAAAATATCAAGACTTGTAAGAGCTCAAAATATTGAAGTTACTTTGCCTTTCTTAGATTATTTTTTGGTACTGCTGCTTGAAGATATGCATCTATTATGCCGTGTTCATCATCAGTGCGTGTGGCCAGTTCACCGTCGTGTAAAGGATTTTCGTCTCTACAAGAATTTTGACGACCGGATAGCTTTGTGGCCCCTTTGTTGCATTTTATTACCTTCCTAACGTATGCTGTGCTACTCCGAAAAATAAATTACCATATAAATGGTTAGCACCGTCAACTAATCAGCAGCAAAATCTTGGCATTGGCTCCTTCTGTACTCCTTGGCTTGTTTTTCTACTAATGCCGGTCTGCCTGTCGTTCCTATATTTGACAAGAAATAAACAATATCTTGCGCACTTATACACAATTCACTGAAATTTGGTGACATTTTAATGCTTTGGCACTACTATAAACTCGATGAAAGTTAATGCTCGTCTTCATCCCGTCTCTTGTCCTGAGTCCAGTTTTGCGCTACGTGATTATTTAGTATAACCACTACCTGTGTTATCACTCACCCCTAACTTTCAAGGTAGCCCAATCAGGTTGAAGTTTTGCTTGGTTGGTTAGTTTCGGAAGTTAAGTGTCATCTCAAAGCGACTCATGCTATCATAGGCGCCGTATTGAAGGAGTTCGGATTGTCAAAATATCACATAGGTGTGGTCATCCGGAGCCCTGCACTGCCATTTATCTCATAGCTTGACGCTAAACCACCCCAGGCAAGCAGTCAAGCAAACGAACTAAATGTGTTGTCTGTGCACGGCCACTCCAAGCTCTTCATCTCTATATGTCAAGTCAGTGAACTCAAAATTTGTTTCATCACTGTACGCAAGCTTTGACTTCGCCACTGCCATAAATTTCTTGAACCAACCTCATATTCCCCTTGCTGAAATCATAAAACCTTTCTTTCTTTCTTTCTTTCTTTCTTTCTTTCTTTCTTTCTTTCTTTCTTTCTTTCTTTCTTTCTTTCTTTTTCTTTTCTTTTTCGTTCTTTGTTCCTATCATCCTCTCTCTCTTTGTTTTTCCTTCCTCAATTCTATCCTTCCTGCTTCCTTTCTTTTCTTCTTTCCTTCTTTCTTTCTTTTTTGCTACTTCCTTCCTTCCTTCCTTGTTTCTATAGTTAACGAGCCTCAAGCAGGCTTTGTCGCATAATTATCCCCATTGCAAAAAAGAAAGCTTTCAAGGTAACCTTCTGAGAATGTATTTCTGTTATTTCTGTGCTTAAGGAACACATATGAGTCATAACAAGAGTCACTCAGCAGAAATTTCGCGTTTGGTAAAAAAAAAGCACCTAAATAACTAAAACACTAGCTTGCTTCGATGACCACGACCTGCGCGGCCACTTCGCCTTTCCGGTGCTCACGTAAAAAAAAATTGGGACGCGGCATTCACGTGGCCCTCAAGCAGCCTTCGCAAAAGCGTAAGATCCAGGTTATAAAACAAAAATATATAGATGTGGATCTTCTGCGACGGGGTGATGGCTACTTGAGCAGTATTAAATAAATCTCGTGATCGGCTTAACGACATGGAAAGCCACAAATGCCCATGTAGAAGCATTAATATGACGTATATGATAATAAATCAAATTATGTTGGTAGTTATTAAGCCGTGAAAGACCATTATACAATGACGATCGTCGTGAACACTGTAAGCACTTAGTTAATAAGTGAAATAGAGGCTCCTCAGTAGATGTCAGATTCATTGCACTTCATCGGTTGTTGCTGAATATTGAACGTCGGACTTCGATACAAAATACGTGGTCACATAATTACAGTGGAAGACTTCCACTTTCCAAACTTCCAAGGCAAACATATCAATCGCTCCACTACTTCTTATAGATAGAGTAATGAAGCAACGCTACAAATCATTCAGCCAGCATAAGTACGGCAATGCTTGACATCCAATCATGAACAGCAAGCCAGGCCAGGCAACATTACTAATATTACAGCCACCTATATTGATGCATCTGCAATCATTTTAACAAGCTACCCAGCACCACCTGGCATTCGTCATCATTCAGCCGGCTCCAGCAAATATTGAGTCAGTGCTAACTAGTGCTGGTGGTTAGCAAGCTATTAAGGTCCGCGATACCACCACTCCATCATAAATCGCTGGAACGAGAATGGACGCCAGAATATGCTAACATAAAATTTGAATATTGATCACAATGTACAAAAGCAAGATCGGAGCGTGAAGGTTTCGAAGCTTATTATTTTTACGGCGAAACATTTACATGTCCCATCAAAGAAGAAAACCAGTCATCGGCGTCGTCAACACGAGTGTTGGAAGAAATCATTACCAGATGACGCCCCTATAGGGCGTCATTGAGATGTCACCGCTATAAAATATCCATTAGGTCATCATGACGTCATCGTGACGTCATTAGTATAAGATAAGAAATACGTCTCAACCTGACTTCACCACCCGGCTTCACCGCTGAGTCAAAGGTGCGCCAATCACTGAGGCAGTGCAAAATCAGGTGACGTGCGAAAACCTCGGTATGTTTCTAATCTTGGAGGCTGTGCAAAGGCGCATGAGGGGAAAGAAAATCTCATAAGGTGCCGAATAAAAGGTCAATGCATCGATTGAGAATCATGTTAGCGATACGCATGACTTTCATTATTAACGAATATGCACATCATTAAGCTAAGGGCTTCAGAATATTTAGGCTCAATAATGTCAATTCACCACTTGCTGATGATGAATATGACTCCTATGTCATGTAAAGTTAATCGTAAAACAATTTACACGACTCTAGCAGGGACGCAAATACTTTTTTCCAGAAATGCCGTTACAAACGTGTGCCCACTAATTAGCAATCACGCTCTATACATGGTATTCCTTGTGCTTAAACAAATATAAAAATACTTTGTTCAGTTGGTCGAGTATACCGAGTAAAGAACAGCCCTGCATGACGCGGGACATTGAAAAGACTATTAGTACACAACAACCATTTTCAGAGCCAATAATTACCTTAGATCAAGTTACGGTCAAAGTTACCCTTACCTTAAGTACCAGCTATATCAAAACTAAAATTGATAACGTTGCTTAAACATTCGAGCCACCTTATATCAACTATGAACAGTGTGTCTCATTTAATGCTCTAAAAACAACTGAAACGCGAGGTTCAAACTGGGCTCATTTGTCAACTTACGCGCGTTAATATATGGGAGAAAGTGTAGCATGTTACCTGGAACACCAGGGTTTATTAAGGAGACTTAGATTATTCTGGTAACAAATGTAAACTGGTCTCCATTTGTATCCTAAATATCCTATATTGGTCATAATGTGCATGCTTGAAAATTCAATATGCCTCGCTTTCTGGGCGACATTGAAGTGCGTGGTCTTCTCTAGTGTGTGATATTCTGCGTGATCTTCTGCATGAGCTCTACCACACGTTTCTAAGTTTTTTTTTTATCCGCTGACTCTTATTGCGCAGTTAGCAACCTGGACAAAGACAAGCCGTCATGCAGTCGAAATGTCGAGGTTTGTCGCCAAATATGTACATTGAAAGGAACTTATCTAATCGTACTACATGTGCAATGTGATATTCAGAGAACCGATCCCTGTGCATGATGATATCTACACTCTTGCAAGGTAACTCTTTTTTGTGGTGACTGTGTTGAACAGAGTTAAACTTGCAATTATTTTTGATATTATGTGATTATTCGCACTTACACTGATGTGATTATAGAATGCGGATCATATTCCAGCTTAGTTTTTTTTTATGAGTGCGTCTAATGTACAGGCAGAAGCTGCATCATATCATGATAACTTC